GGTAGTTTCAGACTCCCTTAGTGCTTAGCAGGCTATAAAAAAACTTCACAAGAAAGAAGGAACACCGCAACAGGCCCACTGACCCATGCGGAGCAGGTCAATGACCCCCCCCGGATTGGCCCAATGACCCACCCAGTCTGGTCACCTCCACTCAAGGAAGGAGCACGGCACCAGACCCAGCAACACAAGCTAGTCAGGTCCAACTCTCACCCACCCACACCCACTCGTGTATTTATCTAACCTATTTTTAAAACTACGCAACGTTTTAGCCTGAATAACTGTACTCGGGAGTTTGTTCCACTCATCCACAACTCTATTACCAAACCAGTGCTTTCCTATATCCTTCCTGAATCTGAATTTTTCCAACTTGAAACCATTGCTGAGAGTCCTGTCTTGGCTGGAAATTTTCAGCACGCTATTTACATCCCCTTTATTCCTGTTTTCCATTTATACACCTCTATCATATCCCCCCTAATTCTACGCCTTTCGAGAGTGCAGATTCAGGGCCCTCAGTCTATCCTCATAGGGAAGATTTCTGATACATAGGATCATCTTTTGTCATCCTCCTCTATACGTTTTCACCTCATTCCCTGGTTCTTCGTATGCAACTTTGGTTACACCGTATCTCTAGCAAAAACAAAGATAGTTTTCTGTTGGGTCCCCGGTCATGTTGACGTACAGGGCATTGAACAGGCATACACTGCTACGCAGTCAGCAGTACATGACCTCCCAGTTTCATATAGAGGTATTAGATTCACAGATTATTTGGCTGTAATTTCTAACCACCTTTGCAACTGTTGGCAACAACGTTGGTTTGATATGATACATAACAAATTACATTCTATCAACCAAGTTTAGGTTTCTGGCCATCTTCTTGTCGATGCCGAGGTTGGCAGACTACGCAATCCTGTCTACGCATCGGGCACACTCTTCTTACTCATGGGTATCTCAGGGAGAGGGACCTGTTCCACTCTGAGAATTGTTAGGTTCCAGTTTCGATTAGCCATATTCTGTTGGACTGCCCCGGGCTATCAACGAAACACACGGAATTTACCTCCGACGTCACCGCTCTAACGCCCCACATTGCTGACGGGCCCACCTTTGACTCGGACTCCCTCGTCGACTTTTTTAGAGCAACTGACTTACTGCACAAACTTTGATACTTCCTCTAGCACTCCTCACTTCCCTTTGTAACTCTCCCTCTGTTGTTCACTCCACTCTTGCTAAATTTTTAATCATGCGCTATCCCTGCCCCCTCTTCAAGGGGGGCTCCTTGGGGGTGGTGAAGAGGCTCTTGGTCTGAGGAATTAGACCTATCGGTCTTCTTCCTCAAACGAACCTAATTACCCCCCAATCTCACCTCCCCTATCCCATCCCCCCCCCATCCTCCCCTTTTTTCCTTTCCTCCTCCCCCTCCCCACCCCCCCCTTTTGCCCTTCCTTTTTTTGTCCTTTGGGATTTCTCCCACAGGCGCATATTTCCCTGGGTAGAGGAAAGGATCCCGGGGTCCATCCCATTCGTTGAGGTTTTAGCGGTGGCGTGTTTCCCGGGGAAATCTGGTCGCCTGGGGAGCCCGACCCCTCTCCGGTACCCCGGGCTAGCTTTGGGTGTCTTTGGGGCGACGGTGTATCTCGGAAACCCCCTTTTGGATTCGGGGGGGGGGGCCGAAGGAGGTATGCTTTTTGGGGGGATATCCGGGCCGCCCTCTCTTTTGTCCATCATGCCCCTATTTCTTTCCTCAAAGTTCGCCGAATTTGCACCCCTTGGACTTTTTTCTCCAGAGAAGAACGTAAAATGTGCCCTTTTAAAACTTCAAGAACTGGGCAACACTCTAGTTGTCGATCTCGGCAGCTGGGGCCCACAAAATTTATATTCGTATGCTACTTTACATAGTCACCCTTCAGTCCTATTACGCCCCTTTTCAATCTTATTTGGTCACAAGGGGTTTTTCCACAGTGTGGGAAAAAAACCCCCATTGTTCTCCCCTTTTCCCCAACCCGGATACGGGGCATGAAAACCCCCCCTATGTCCCCTTGCTTTACCAGTGCAGTTTGCAAAGTAATGGGAAAGTCTAGTAAAAAGACTTTAGTGTGGATTTAAGAACCCCAACATCTCCCACTCGTCAATATGGGTTTCGTAAGGAGTTCTACCATAGACCCCCCTTATGCGTTGGATACGATGTTCGTAAAGCCTTTGCGAATAACCCTCGTTATTGCCATATTTTTTGACCTTTGGGAAAGGGATATGACACAAATTGGGGTTAAAATTTTAGCCAAACCCAACCCCCTTAGGGCCTTCGAGGCAACACCTCCTTCCTTAAGAACTTTTTTAAAGACGCATTTCCGTGTTTGGGGTTAATAATGTGCTCTCCCCGGACTTTTCCCCAAACTGAAGGTGTCCCCCAGGGGTGTGTTTGAGCACAACACTTTTTTCCTTGCTATTAATGATTTGGCCTCTAGTCTTCCATCAAATATTTGGTCATCACTCTATGTTGATGACTTCGCTATTGCCTGTGCAGGCGCTGACTGTCACCTCCTTACAGTTTCTCTCCAACATGCAGTCGACCCTGTTTCCAATTGGGCCACCACACATGGTTTAAATTTTCCAGCACTAAAACCCACCAAATCACTTTCACTAGACGCTCTGTCATCTCCGATCATCCTTTTTTACCTCTATGGCTCCCCTATCCTGAACGTGATACAGTCAAGTTTCTGGGCCTCCTCTTTTGATCGTAGGTTATCTGGAAAACCCCACATTACCTCTCTGAAGGCAACTTGTCACAGCCGGCTGAACCTTCTTAAAAAACCCCTTTCTCAAACTTTCGTGGGGAGCCCGATCGTCGAACCCTCCTTCACCTACATTCCACCCTTATTTTATTTGAAACTTGTTATGGTGACCAGATCTATTCGCGGCATCTCCTGCTACTCTCTCTAGCCTTAACCCCATTCATCACCAAGGATTACGTTTATGCCTTGTGCTTTTTCGCCTCTTCCCCTGTCGAAAGCCTCTATGCAGAAGCGAACGTTCCATCCTTAAACCGGGTCGCCGTGATGCCCATTGCCTGCGCTACTATGTACGCTCTCATGATCTCCGCAATCCTTCCATTTATAGAATTTGGGCACTGATATTAGTAGACATTCTTTATTTGTTCGCCGCCCCCCCTTCTTCTCCGTCCCCTCTCTTCGCCTTCATTCGATCTTATCTTCTCTTCAACTACCACCTTTCTATGTACATGTAGCATCTCACTTTTCCCTACCCCCCTGGGAAGTTCCAGCTGTTCGAGTCTGTTCTTTCTCCCTCCCTTGCTCGAAAGCCCAACTGTCTACGGTCGCTTCCCGCTCTCTTTTTCTTGACCACTTTCATTCTCATTCTCGTGCCATTGCTGTGTACACAGATGGCTCTGTCTTCTGACGGCGTAGGATTCGCAGCAGTGTTTCCGGACAGCGTCGTACAAGGGCATTTACTATCTTCGGCTAGTATTTTTACTGCTGAATTATATGCCATCCTTACAGCACTTATCCGTATTGCATCTATGCCTGTGTCATCATTTGTGGTTGTCTCAGACTCCCTTAGTGCTTTACAGGCTATACAAAAATTTGATACACCTCACCCCTTAGTCCTCCGTATCCAACTTTGGCTACGCCGCATCTTTACCAAGCATAAAGATATTGTTTTTTGTTGGGTCCCTGGTCATGTTGACGTACAGGGCAATGAACTGGCAGACACTGCTGCGCGGTCAGCAGTACATGACCTACCAGTTTCTTATAGAGGTATTCCATGTACGGACTATTTTGCTGTAATATCTTCCCACCTTCACACCCGTTGGCAACAACGTTGGTCTACTATGCTCGGCAACAAACTTCAGTCTATTAAACCGAGTATAGGTTACTGGCCGTCTTCTTATCACCAGTGTCGAGGTTGGGAGACTACTCTCTCCCGTCTTCGCATTGGCCATACTCGTCTTACTCATGGATATCTCATGGAGAGGCGTCTTGCTCCTCTCTGTGAGAATTGCCAAGCTCCATTATCAGTCAGCCACATTCTGTTGGACTGCCCACTTTATCAACGAGCACGCAGAATTTACCTCTGTCGTCGTCTTCGCCCCACTGCTCTCTCTTTACCTTCCCTTCTCGCTGATGGACCCACCTTTCATCCGGACTCTCTCATTGACTTTTTGACAACGACTGACTTCACAAATTCTGATACTTTCAGCCCTTTCTACTTCAATCTCTTGCTACCCTCTACCCCCGTACTATCCCCTGCTCCGCTGTTTTCTGTAACCTGCTGATCATCCCCCCTCCCTTCTGCCATCCAATTCCCTTGCTTCCTTCCCTACCCTGCAGCGCTGTATAGCCCTTGTGGCTTAGCGCTTCTTTTTTGATTATAATAATAATGATAATATCCCCTGCCCCGCTGTATGACCCTTGTAGGTTTATTGCTTCTTTTTTATTGTGTAGGTTTATTGCTTCTTTTTTATTGTGTAGGTTTATTGCTTCTTTTTTATTGTAATAATCGACAGGCCCCTGTCTTCAGGAGGAAACTGAGTTAGTTCCTGAGGTTAATTCCAGCCTATGCAGGATTGTGAGGCTAGCACCAACTGCCTGGTTGATCAGGCTGTCATTTAGGATGCCTGGTCTGGGATCGGGCCACGGTAACAGTGTCCCATGCATTTCATCTTAATCAGGGTGTCTTAATACGTCATTTGCTGTACTTTAATAAATAGCAGAAAAAATTGCTGGTTAGAGAGATGGAAACATTAGGGTAAAACTAAAGGCATCGCTCGACGAATCCAGGAGTGGTGGTAAAACTCAAAATACTCTGAATAACTAAGAAGCTTTCCATGTGAGAGCTGTAATGTCAACCAATTTTGTACAAACTATGTATCACGAGGAAATAAATTGGTTAGCTGTAAGCTGGATCTTTCGTCCATTAATCCTGAGATACTGGTTACCTAACTGACCTCACTTGAAGCCATTTTCTCATGTCCTTCGACTTTACAGAGAGGACGTTCGTCTCGGTGAATTCAGTCTGTCCCGCTCAAATGATGATGCATCCCCGCAAGACTTCCGGATTGTAAGCCGCCGGGACAATGGTTACAACCGAAGGACTAAGGAAAATGATATCATGCTCCTTATCCTGGACCGTGACGTCCAGTTTAATGGTAAGTTATACTATTAAAAAGAAGATATAAAATGAGCATCAGATTATACAAATTATTTTAAAATTAAAATCAGTTTAGTCCTTCTATATGGGACATATATATATATATATATATGGGGTATATACTGCTCTAGGAACACACCTACAAGCCGGTGAGGAGGCTTTTGATCCAAAGAATTGAATCTGACATCCCCTTCTTTAGATCGAGCCTGATTTGCTCACTTCCCCAGGCACTGTATGACCCCTACGGATTTAGTGCTTCTCTCTGAATACGCTACAGTACTACATATGCAATTTAAATGAGATTGTACTCAAAATGCAGACTCGCAATGGGTATCAAAATATTCGAAAGTGATTTAGCAACACACATTTCAGTCCCTACTCGTATCAAAATATAATTGTGTAAATTTTCTCATGCTTACATTGTAGATAGTTCTTTAAATATATTTAGTGCTCGAAGAACTTGCATTAACATATGTGAAATCCAGCATTTTTTTTGCATTAAATATTTAGTAGTTCAGTAAGTTGTGATACAGGTTATTTGGTCTATAGTGAGGTAAGTCCCTCCCTCCACTAAACCTCCATTACTCACTTGACCGTCTCTATTCACACAACCTCCACTACTCACACAACTAATACCTATGCAACCTCCGTCTCTCCAGACTTGATCAAGCCAGCGTGTCTGCCTTTCAACGAGCGCAACAATAACTTTGATGGCCAAAGCCTCACCGTTGTTGGCTGGGGGAGGACATCTTTTGGTGAGTTGCCGTTTTTGGTTTTTATTACATAAAAATATTCAAAACAAAGTCTTCAGTATTTCACTACTTATTTATATCCAGATGTAATATGACTGTTTAAGTGTGTGTTTACCTGGAGTTACCTGGAGAGAGTTTCGGGGGTCAACGCCCCCGCGGCCCGGTCTGTGACCAGGCCTCCTGGTGGATCAGCGCCTGATCAACCAGGCTGTTGCTGCTGGCTGCACGCAAACCAACGTACGAGCCACAGCCCGGCTGATCAGGAACTGACTTTAGGTGCTTGTCCAGTGCCAGCTTGAAGACTGCCAGGGGTCTGTTGGTAATCCCCCTTATGTGTGCTGGGAGGCAGTTGAACAGTCTCGGGCCCCTGACACTTATTGTATGGTCTCTTAACGTGCTAGTGACACCCCTGCTTTTCATTGGGGGGATGGTGCATCGTCTGCCAAGTCTTTTGCTTTCGTAGTGAGTGATTTTCGTGTGCAAGTTCGGTACTAGTCCCTCTAGGATTTTCCAGGTGTATATAATCATGCATCTCTCCCTCCTGCGTTCCAGGGAATACGGTTTAGAAACCTCAAGCGCTCCCAGTAATTGAGGTGTTTTATCTCCGTTATGCGCGCCGTGAAGGTTCTCTGTACATTTTCTAGGTCGGCAATTTCACACTGCCTTGAAAGGTGCTGTTAGAGTGCAGCAATATTCCAGCCTAGATAGAACAAGTGACCTGAAGAGGTCATCATGGGCTTGGCCTCCTAGTTTGAAGGTTCTCCATTATCCATCCTGTCATTTTTCTAGCAGATGCGATTGATACAATGTTATGGTCCTTGAAGGTGAGATCCTCCGACATAATCACTCCCAGGTCTTTGACGTTGGTGTTTCGCTCTATTTTGTGGCCAGAATTTTTTTTGTACTCTGAAGATTTAATTTCCTCATGTTTACCATATCTGAGTAATTGAAATTTCTCATCGTTGAACTTCATATTGTTTTCTGCAGCCACTGAAAGATTTGGTTGATGTCCGCCTGGAGCCTTGCAGTGTCTGCAATGGAAGACAGTCATGCAGATTCGGGTGTCATCTGCAAAGGAAGACACGGTGCTGTGGCTGACATCCTTGTCTATGTCGGATATGAGGATGAGGAACAAGATGGGAGCTAGTACTGTGCCTTGTGGAACAGAGCTTTTCACCGTAGCTGCCTCGGACTTTACTCTGTTGACGACTACTCTCTGTGTTCTGTTAGTGAGGAAATTATAGATCCATCGACCGACTTTTCCTGTTATTCCTTTAGCGCGCATTTTGTGCGCTATTACGCCATGGTCACACTTGTCGAAGGCTTTTGCAAAAGTCTGTATATATTACATCTGCATTCTTTTTGTCTTCTAGTGCATTTAGGACCTTGTCGTAGTGATCCAGTAGTTGAGACAGACAGGAGCGACCTGTTCTAAACCCATGTTGCCCTGGGTTGTGTAACTGATGGTTTCTAGATGGGTGGTGATCTTGCTTCTTAGGACCCTTTCAAAGATTTTTATGATATGGGATGTTAGTGCTATTGGTCTGTAGTTCTTTGCTGTTGCTTTACTGCCCCCTTTGTGGAGTGGGGCTATGTCTGTTGTTTTTATAACTGAGGGACGACCCCCGTGTCCATGCTCCCTCTCCATAGGATGGAAAAAGGCTCGTGATAGGGGCTTCTTGCAGTTCTTGATGAACACAGAGTTCCATGAGTCTGGCCCTGGGCAGAGTGCATGGGCATGTCATTTATCGCCTGTTCGAAGTCATTTGGCGTCAGATAACATCGGATAGGCTTGTGTTAATCAAATTTTGTGGCTCTCATAAAAAATTCATTTTGATCTTCGACTCTCAGTCTGGTTAGCGGCTTGCTAAAAACTGAGTCATATTGGGACTTGAGTAGCTCACTCATTTCCTTGCTGTCATCTGTGTAGGACCCATCTTGTTTAAGTAGGGGCCCAATACTGGACGTTGTTCTCGATTTTGATTTGGCATAGGAGAAGAAATACTTTGGGTTTCTTTCGATTTCATTATGGCTTTTAGTTCTTCCCGCGATTCCTGACTCCTAAAGGATTCTTTTAGCTTAAGTTCGATGCTTGCTATTTCTCTGACCAGTGTCTCCCTGCGCATTTCAGATATATTGACCTCTTTTAGCCGCTCTGTTATTCTTTTCCGTCGCCTGTAAAGGGAGCGCCTGTCTCTTTCTATTTTACATCTACTCCTCCTTTTTCTTAGAGGAATAAGCCTTGTGCATACATCGAGTGCCACCGAGTTAATCTGTTCTAGGCATAAGTTTGGGTCTGTGTTGCTTAGTATATCTTCCCAGCTTATATCGGTTAGGACTTGGTTTACTTGGTCCCACTTTATGTGTGTTTTTATGTAACTGATTCCATGTTTGCATAAAACTGTGTAATAATTTAGATTTATTCTTCGTGGGTTACTTTGAATAGCATTATGGAAGTAGCTGACATATGAATAAAATAAAGCATTAGATTGCACTTAACCCACTGCTTTTAATAAGCAAATAGGTCCAGAGAGGAAATAGTAATTTTTCAAAATACTGTAAGTAGCAAAGTTTGTCTCAGTAATTGCAACTATTCTTCCATCTTTGCAGTCATATTTATTTCTTAACTGCTGGTTTTGCCTTGATTTCTGTCATTAGGTTCTTTCTTATCCTCCCTTGCCTATATAGCCTTAATTTTTTTCTCTAAACTTTGTGTCTGTCCTCAGAGAGCAGAACACTCTCAGATGTGCCAATGGAGGCTCAAGTACCGGTGGTGAACAGCAGAACTTGCAGCACAGCTTACCAGGGAGTTCAGGGCGACCGTCCTGTGGTGGACCATAGACATCTGTGTGCGGGCTCAGCCAGCACCGACTCTTGTAGCGTAAGTACTCTACAGGGTGGCCACACTGTCTTGCTACCAGTTGTAGATATGGTGACAGTATTTTATTGTTAGATGACAACACTTCAGGGGCTAAAAGCTAAAACCCCCATACAGTTGCAGTAGGCTTACCTAGTAATGTACAGACACCTAGGACTCCGGTAGTGTAGCTTCCAAAGACTCCTGTAGTGCATTCCAGACTCTTGCAGCGTGTGCAGCAAGTTAAGACTTGCAGCGTAAGTTTGTAACAGCCAACCAGAACGCTAGTAATGTTAGTACAGCCACTCTCGTAGTGTGTATACACTGTACACCCATTGGATACACTTCATTCACAAATGATCATTTAATGGAGGGGCGCTAACTTATCCTATTCATTAAAGAGCACACCAGTTTTATTTTTGATGCCTTCTTCAGTGCCCTGACTTGCTTTGTCTTTTAATGAAGATTTCATATACGAGTTCTTAACTGACACCAATTTATTACATCAACTGTATCCTTTCTTTGTGCATAAGTCCTTCCCGCGTAACCTTTGCCTTTACCTGCACTATATCTTTCACCTATGATGAATAACCCTTGTGGATTTGCCGTTTTCCCCCCTGAATATAATGAATAATATTCATGTAGGTCCTTCTAATGACAGGTTAGTGTCTTTCGCTCTGTTATTGGATAGGGAATAGAGCCTCAATTACTCCATGCACTGATTGACCAATAGAGGTTTATCTTTTCACAAAGTACTACTACGGTCCATGCTTGGCCTTTCCTTTTATGTTAGTAATCTAGTCATGTCTCCCTCAAGCATTTCTCTCTCCTCAGGGTGACAGCGGTGGACCTCTGAACTACAGGGCTCCTAGTGGCAGGTATTATATAGCTGGAATCGTATCCTTCGGTGTGGGATGCGCTCGACCAGAATTCCCAGGCGTGTACACACGAGTGAGCGCTTTCCTCGACTGGATCGTCAACAATGTGCAATAATACACAGGACGTTGCTGTTGTACGTCATAGTTAACCTCAATATTCCTGTGATATATGAAATTTTACAGAATTGTCATTCATTTATTTTTTAATGGCACATTCAGGTATAATTCTAAGAAGACTGAGCACATTTTGTGTTTGTGATGTAGGGATTATTATTATAATCAAGGGGGAGCACTAAACCCGTAGGATTATGTAGCGCCTGTGGAAGGGGGAGAGGATACGGAAGGTATTCAGGCTTAATTCAGGGAACTGGAGCACAGACCCAATTCCCTAGATCAAGATCCCCTCACCAGCATCAAGAAACCTTCTTTGAGGGGTGTGATGTAGGGAGAAAAGGAGAGCCTCGCTAGAAGCAGTGGAGTTTGAGCACAGTTATTGGGATTGGAGTTCTTACGCCAAAGATGTTGTAAAAGCAGTGCCCGGTCACAAACATCCTCTTGCATCCTAAGGCTTAAATTTGAATGTCAAAATATCATGGCACAATATCATGAAACTTTTCGGCCCGTTCTGACTTTTTCCAGGACAGAAAGTATCATTTCTTAAATTGAGTTTGCTGTGAATTCCCATTAACTTGAACATTTTTGTCCTAGACTGTACATAGAAATAAAAATAAATATATGTTTAATTTGTCAAGTGTCTGAACATTCGTCCAGCAGTGTGAATGTTAATATTTTAACCTTTTCAGTTTTATAATAGTCCAGCTGATGTCAAAAAAGTTACACTTAAGAGTTTGAATGAGATGCTCTGGCATGAAGTTTTCTAGGAGAGTAGAGAATGAAAGGAAATGACGAATATACATCTCAGTAATGGATCTCTGGGCTAAATGGAGTTAATGTGGAAGATGTATATGTATGTTGTGTCGTTCAGTTTATTTCGCCATGAATTGAAAACTTAATTACAATTACTTTCATTGACTGCAAGGCTTTAGTTTTCCTTCTTGATATTTATTTTCAACTTAGTATTTCTATTTCGTGAGCATTATAAAAAGTAAGTTAAAGTACTGTGGATGGAACAATTTACAATTAGTCCACAATATAGAGGAATCTTTAAGCTACGTTTTAGTCTGCCTTGGAACATTATCACTTCTGTGATAAATGGAAACCTCTAAAATTTCTCCGAACTGTTAGTTATGAATTGTGTGCATTATTTTTGTACACGTTATTATAATTACATTTCTTTTTGTAAATGTTAGGTTTATTATGCATTATTTTTTGGTGTAACTACTCTGCATTATAAACTGGAGAGGTTGTAAAGCCAAGAGATGTAAACAATTAAGATACATAAGCAGTTAAATTTTATTTATAAATAAATTAGACATTGTTAATAACATGTATTTTTAAGAACCACCATTGTTATTAATTATTAAGTTTCTGAATATTTGTGTAAAGGAAGAAATTTGAAAGTGAAAATAGATAAAAAATGATGAAGGTATCAAATGAGTTAAGTAAAATAAAACTAGATATCACGTTGGAGGGAGTATGGAAAAGTAAATGTGTTCAGATATTTAAGAGTACACTTCTCAGCGCATGGATTTATGAAGGATGACATAAATCATAGAACTGATGCAGGAAAAAATGTGGGTGGTGCATTGAGGTATCAGTGGAGACAAAGAACGTTATCCATGGACGCACAGAAGGGAATGTATGAGTGTAGTGGTACCAGCATTCTTATGAGTGTGAAGAATGGGTTGTAAATGTAGCCAGGAGGCTGGAGGTAGTGATGTTATGTCTAAGGGCAATGTGTGGTATAAATATTATGCAAAGAATTCGGTGTGTGGAAATTAGGAGGTGTGGAGTTACTAAAAGTACTATTCAGAGGGCTGAGGAGGGGTTGCTGAGGTGCTTCGGTCATTTAGAGAGGGTGGAGCAGAATTGGATAACTTAGAGTGTATAAATCTGTAGTGGAGGGGTAGGGGTGGTCCTCGGAAGGGATGGAGGGAAGGGTTAAAAAAAATTTGTGTGCAAAGGGCTTGAACATACAGCAGGCATGTATTAGCATGTTAGTGAATAGAGATGAATGGTTTTTGACTTGAGCTGTTGGAGTGTAAGCAGGTTAATATTTTGTGAAGGGATTCAGGGAAACTGGTTAACCGGACTTGAGTCCTGGAGGTGGAAAGTACAATGCCTGCATTTTAAAGGAGGGCTTTGGAATGGTTTGCTGTTTGGAGTGACATCTAAACTGGAGTATCTGCGTGCCTTTGCAAAGACGGATTATGTGAATGATGGTGAAAGTGCTTAGTTTTTTGGTCATCCTGCCTCGGTGGGAGACGGCCAGCATGTTTTTTTATATTATATATATATATATATATATATATATAAAATATATATATATATATTAATTTTTATAATATTTATATATATTATTATTTTATATATGTCGTGCCGAATAGGCAGAACTTGCGATTTTGGGTTAAAAAGCAACGCTGATCTTCCCATATGGGAAAAGTGAAAATTTGTGTATGCGTTTTTTCCCCCAAAAATCCTGAACTAACAAAAAAAATTATTTCACTGTTTGTTTAATTTAAAATTTTGAAACAAATCAAAAATATATTTGTTGGGTTGGCCAAAAAAAATTTTTTTTGTTTAAAAAGGTTAGGAAATTTTTTCAAAGTTCCTTTTGGGAAAAATTTTTAAATTTTTTGCATCAACATTAATGAAAAAAAATATTCGTTAAAGTGTAAGAGAAAATTTTAGAAAAGGACTTAATTTTAAATGATTTTGTAATTGACCAGTTTTTAATATTCGGACGACATATGTATGTATGGCCGAATAGGTAAAAATGGTCAGTTAGCAAGCACTCTTTTAAAAAATTAAGTCCTTTCTAACATTTTTTTTTACACTTTTTCCTCTTCAAGGGGGGCCCCTTTGGCGTGGTGAAGGGCTCTTGGTCTAGGAATTAGCCCGTGGGTCTTCTTCCTCAACCGAACCTTTACCCCCCATTCCCCCCCCCCAAACCCCATCCCCCCCATCCTCCCCTTTTTATTCCTCCCCCTCCCCCTCACCCCTCCTTTTGCCCTTTCCTTTTTTGGCCTTCGTGATTTCCCCACAGGCGCGCTAGTTCCTAGGTGGGGGAAAAGGCACGGGGTCCCATCCCATTCCGTTGAGGTTTTCTTGGCGGTGGGTAGTTTCCCAAATGGAATCTGGATTGCCTGGGGATGTCCCGACCCCCTTCCGGTACCCCCGGGTACTTTGGTGTTTTTTGGGCGACGGGTGTTCTCGGAAGCCCCCTTTTCGGATTCCGGGGGGGGGTGGTGAAGGAGGTATGTTTTGTGGCGGATATCCGGCCGCCCTCTCTTTTGTCCCCGAGGTGCTCGGAGATTGAGGTTGCTATCCCGGATTGCGGGTTTACGGGCATAAAGGGGTGGGGGTATGGCACGGGTTCATGCTCATCTGCGCTATTTTGGGGTGTCGATTCCTCTTGGGCGCGGAGGGAGATTCCGGCCTTTTACCCTCTGGGAATATCCCCCCCGCCCCCCCCTTTTTTTATTCTTTTTTTTTTTTTATTTTTTTTCTTTTTTTTTTTTTCTTAAAAAAAAAAAGCAAGGAGTAACCTAACCATGGCACCCCTAGCCCCATGAAACCATACCCCGGGCCCCTTTTGATACGCACCCCTTTTGACCCGCCTTGTTTTAGACCACTCTTCGGACACCCCTGAGCCCCTGTACCTCTTGGGTGCTTTTTCCCTCACCGTTTTAGGTACGGGGCTTCGCTGATTTCGATTTGTCGAACCCGCTCTCCTTGACTATGCTTGGCTTCTCCCTCTAGGGTTCGGCAATTTTCAAATCGCCCCCCATTTCATGGGACCAACCCCCGGCCTACTTCTAAACGCCAACGTCTTTCCCTGATGTTGCTCCGTCGTTCCCTTTCCCATTCTACTCGGAAACGCCCGCCGCAAGCCTCCCTCCCCACGCTCAGTTTGGGACCACAAAAAATGGACTAAATTCTTTTTTTTAAAGACCACTTCTTTTCTCCCTACCTTTCTGCCCATAGTATTGCCAAAGCGCCCCTGCGTCATGTTGGCAGAGATTTTTCTTTTCAGCTCTCAAGAGGGGTTTTAGCGCATCGTCATGTCCAGAATGCTCCCAATCTGATCTTTTCCCCCTTTCAAATATCGTACTACTCCTATCACATTGAAAAAATCTTTCTTCAATTTTTGTAGTGGTACTGTCTTTCTCCCCTACCATAGTCCAACAGAATTTCCCAGTCATGTGGCAATACATTTTTGACAGCTGGAACCCCAGGATCTCCAATCCCAAAGTAGACACTTTGTCCTTCCGCCGGGGGGGGGACGTTACCCTTGCAAGGGGTCTTTTAAATTTTTGACACCCGAGAACCCCCGCCCTCTGTATATGTCGCGGGACATCGGTTACAAGTTGAAAGGTGATACCTAACCGAACAAGTAAAAATTTGCTGGCGTTTTTTTCACCCCAAAAATATTGCGCTAGGGCCCGAATGCCCAGTCTGTGGTGCCGACGACCATTCTAAACATTTGCAGTAAACCTCCATCTTCCCTTAATTGTAAGGCCCCCCTTCGTACTCCCGCCTTTTTGCCGGTCTACTTAAATGAAGGGAAATCCTTTTGCCTAAAAGAGGGCAGAAGGTCCCCCTTATGCTATGGCAGTTACTCATCCCCGCCCCCAAGGGGAGATACCCCGTGTTTTTATTCTCGTGTTTCCCAAACGCCCCCCCTTCGGGGGTCCCATCTTCTGCAGCCTCCTCTGTTGTTCCCCCTCCATAGCCACTAGGGCATCAACCCTTTTTGCTGCCCTTTGGGTCTGAGTCCCACTACAACTCAGTTGTTTTCACATTTTCGCATCCTTCCTCACAAGCCCCGTATCACAAGACCTCGTACACACCTAATCCCAACCCCCCTCTACTCAGAAGTCCAAAAATCCAATTTGCTCAAATCTTTTTTGCCCTTCCTTCCCTTCTTCCACCTCCACATTTTTACCTTTCCATCTCTGTACCTAGTTCTTCCCCTCTCTCTGGCTCTATTAAAAGGTGGAGATTCCCCCTCCTCCTTACTTTTGCCTTCCACCCCCTCCCCCCCCCAATTTCCCCTCTTCTGTCACCTCCCGGTTTCTGCCTCTCTGTCCCCCCCCCACATTCATCTCCAGTCCCTTAACTTTTCCCTCCCCTCTACTTTGGTACAGTCCATTACTGCCCCAATCTTTACTCACCCTCCCCCTCCTATCCCAATTGGTCCCCTACATTTTGAATTCAGAAAACTTAAAGCCATTTCGAATATATTGCAGAGACTAAACCTTCAATGGCCTGATTCCTTTCCGTTCCTTCTCTTCCCTCTCCCCCATCTTCAAAACCCCCATTCTTCGCACGCTCCGTTTTTTCCTACTTAAACATCTTCAATGCCACCCACGTTGACTTTTCTAACCCCTCTATCCGTGGTGCCTTTACCTAAGATTCCTGTTTTTTTCTTCATCGCCAATCATGGCCATTTACAGTGGAATACCCGCGGCCTCGGGGGAAATCGGGGTGAGCTTCAGATGTTGCTTACGGGGTTTTTCCCCTTTTTGGTGTTTGCTTACAAAACCAAAAAATTACACTCGGCTGTTTTCCAACCTATCTCAGGCAAAAATTTTTATTGTATTCTTCGGCCCTTTTCTCAATGGGACCTTTAATAAAAGGGCCCCTTTTTCTACGCAATGAATTCCGACTGTCAACTATTTGCCCATACCTCCTGCATTACACGCAGCCCGTATCCACTTTAATAAGTGGTTTACAAATGTTCTTTATTTTCTCTCTCCTCGAGCATTTTCTTCCCAGACTTTGCCTTTCTTGTTTCATCTTACCACCACCCTTTGTTACTTGGTGATTTTTTAAAGCCCACATTTTCCCCTTGGGGGGGGTCTCATTGTACTCACTGGCTTCGTTTTGGGGGCTTTTCTTTTCCTCCACCCCTCCCCTGTTTTAAATAGGGTACTCCCACCATTTTTATCCTCGTACTCATACTCTCTCTTGCTGATCTATCAGTTGCTCTTTCCCCCACGCACTAACTTCACCTGGTCTGTTTACAGACTTTCATGACAGGATATTTTCGATCATTTATTCTCCCTTTTTTCACCACCTTTCCGTAGCCCTCGCTGGGAATTTGATCGGGGAAATTGGGTCTTTACTCCACCTCACTGCTTTTAGTGAGGGGTTTCCTTCTTCATCCTCCATTGTGAGCTCCCACACATCTTCTCGAATCAGTTTATACCCCAGCTTCTCTTCTATACCCCAAACCTCGGCAGGGATTTTAGAAGTGCATTTCCTTGGTGGTCCCGTTGTGCTCGTGCAGTACGTTTGAAACGTGCTGCATGGGGGAGGG